CAATAAGCCGGATGGCATTGCTCAGTCTTGCAGGCGTGATCATTCTTGTGTATTGTTTCATATGTTTTATTCATATAAAATACATTGTTCTATCTCCAACCTAGATGTGTTCTTCATCATATATTGGTGATTTCTACTATGGGATGAGTGAGTGTGGACAACGGTGTGATTTCCACGTAAGATCTTATAGATTAGGTAGTCACATCGTGGCAAATCTACAATTTTAGGATTAGGTCTATTATTAATGCGGTACTAATAATCAAGTAGACCTTATTTCTATAGATGTGCGAATGTCAGACCTCGAAAGACGTCGATGTTTCTCTGTAATATTTTGTAGTATTTCCCAAACCGTATAGTCCAGAGAGACCGATGTTAGCGGTTTTAGAATTGTCGTCAACGGTCACGGAAATTTGGTTTTATGCTTTGACCGGGTCGGTTTTCGAAAAAACAGTTGTTATCTTCATGGTAGCTGTCAAATCGGTAATGTGAAGTAAAGAGTAGCGAACAAATATGGTTTTCACATTCAGTTTCTGATAGTCACCAGCTGTATGTCAGTCATTGTTGTTCTTTTTAAGGTACCATGTATGAAGGAGATGCTGATGAGCTGTTTGATGGCCCAATAATTTTCAAATCTATCATGTGGTCGAATTTGTTTTAGACCAACATCAGCTTTTCGAGAGCCGGTGGACGCTCTTTTGAGAATGCGGGTGGTTCTGTAATTGTTGTGTGATGTGCAACGTTGGTGGTTACATACGGCAATTTGGTCACTTTTAGCAAATCTCGGAGTACTTATTCAGTATATGTTGGTAGTATGGATCGATTATGTAATTAACAAATACTGCAGACAATCTACAATAGGAAGAAAGTTAAACAAACGGATGAATTAGTATTTTTGTCTACTAACCTCCGTTTGCGCATTTCAATTAGTAGATTAAAGTGTTGTAGCAGGTCCATACCAATGATTGGCATGGAAACATCTACAACAACTAAAATCCAATGAAAGGGGTTTGTGTAAACTTACGTCAAAATACACATACCGCTTACCATGTGGCGATTGGCTTTCCGTGTGCAGCCTGTAAGTTGAAAACTGCTTCATGCATTCCGCCGTCAAATTTTGCTAGTAGAACACTGGCTTCTGAGCGATTTTTCGTCACCAAACCACTGATGTGTGACAGATGGCTATATGTGCCGGCTACGGTTGTCGTTAACGCGTGCCGAATGGGAAGTTTCTCCAAACATTTTTATGCAATTTCGAGAATTTCTCTACTTATTATGATACCAGCATCAATCAGAGTTATCCGTCTCTCGTGACCTAGAGACAGATCGTTTCGTGAAGTACACCTTCGAGGAGTTTGGGATCTTCTACGGTCGTGACAAATACTAAGGTAACGTGTCAGAGTATGACAGAGGTCTGTAACGTCATTTCGTGTCGTTTGAGGTTTTTCTTTGACTGAATAGACCTCGACGCTGGGAGTTCTGGTGATCTCCAGAATTCAGTCTGCAGATGCAGCCAGATCGTCTACGATGTTGTGTTTGAAATGAGACAAGTATTGCCTGTACCTGTTGAGAATGCTTAGACAAGAATAGCTATCTAAACAGACACTTGTCAAAGGTTCGTTGACTAACGACCTCTCCCACTCATAGTAACATTCCTGTTGCTCAGCCATATTGTAGTTTAGTGTTGTTGGAGAGTTGGTCAGACCTTAATCGTTCGTTAGATATCCCCGTTTAAGGACTGCCTTTTTAAAAGGTTCGTGCGGTTCTGAGACATCACGAGTAAACATACTAGGTGAGACGTACCTGTTAAAATCACGTGGTAGTTTTTCCGCCACTAGGAGGAATTGTGAACGTGAATCTCTCAGACCGTGTTTGTGGGATTCAGCTGATGAGTGGCAGTATCAGGCCCCTGTTTTATCGGACTACAATAGCATTCACTGGAATAAAGGAGGAAAAAAAGTCTTTATCCTAAATAGCTTAGGAGTCTGTTCCGCTGTGCTGAGCATAAATTGTACTAATGAAGGGGAAGAGGAATATTAGAAAACAATATCATAATTTACAAAATTAAAAATACCATGTTCCGATTAGGAAAGAACTCACAGTTTACGAAGTGATGTACCAGATCACGTCTGAATCACCACTAAAGATGTCACAACTATTCGGAGTTTGACAACGCCTTTACTAGTAACACCTTTCTAATTGAGGTGTGAAGAGCTTCGAAGGTATATGAGAAAGATTATCGGTATCTCAAGAAACGTTTGATCTAAGCAGGCTAACTGTTTGTGTGAGGTGCGTAGCACAGCGTACCTACTCATGGTCTGGTGCGGATGCGTGACCCAGCGCCTTCCCTAGATGTGTCCATTAAAACTAACGAGGTTAGCGTAAAGTGTCGAAGACTTACGGAGCTATTTATTTACATCTGAAGTATCGTACCTCACCTGACAATATACCGGCTGAAGCACTGAAGTCAGACATTGAAGTAACTGCAAACATGCTTCACCTTCTATTCAAGAAGATTTTGGAGGAGGAGCAAGTGTCAACAGACTGGAAAGAAGGATATCTCATCCAGATACCAAAGAAAGGAGATCTGAGCAAATGTGAAAACTACAGAGGCATCAGTTTGTTATCAGTACCAGGAAAGGCTTTCAACAGAGTGATGCTGAATCGGATAAAAGACGCAGTAGACGCCCAACTTCGAGATCAACAAGCTGGATTCCGTAAGGATAGGTCATGCACAGACCAGATTGCGACACTACGGATCATCGTGGAACAATCAGTTGAGTGGAACTCATCACTATACGTCAACTTCATTGATTATGAGAAGGCGTTTGACAGCGTGGATAGGAGAACATTATGGAAACTTCTTCGACACTATGGAGTTTCTGAAAAGATTGTAAACATTATCCAAAACTCATACGATGGACTGTGGAGAAAAGTTGTGAATGGAGGACAGCTGACAGATGCATTTCCAGTAAGGACCGGAGTCAGACAAGGCTGTTACTCTCTCCATTCCTCTTCCTTCTAGTGATTGACTGGATTATGAAGAATTCGACATCTGAGGGGAAATACGGAATACAATGGACTTCTCAGAATCAATTAGATTATTTGGACCTCGCAGATGACCTATCCCTCCTCTCTCATACACACGAACAAATGCAGATGAAGACAGCAAATGTAGCAGCAGCCTCCGCATCGATAGACCTCCACATTCACAAAAGAAAAAGCAAGATCCTCAAATACAACACGGAGAACACCAACCCAATCACACTCGATGGCGAAACTCTGAAAGAGGTGGAAACATTCAAGTACCTTGGGAGCTTCGTTGATAAACAAGGAGGATCGGATCCAGATGTAAAGGCGAGAATTGGCAAGCAAGGGCAGCATTTCTACAATTGAAGAACATATGGAACTCAAAACAACTCTCAACCAATTTCAAGGTCAGAATCTTTAATACGAACGTCAAGACAGTCCTACTGTATGGATCTGAATCGTGGAGAACTACTACGACCATCATCAGGAAGGTACAAGTATTTATAAACAGTTGTCTACGCAAAATACTCAACATCCATTTGCCGGATATTATCAGCAACAGCGTTTTATGGGAGAGGACAAACCAGCTTCCATCTGAAGAGGAAATTAGGAAAAGACGTTGGAAGTGGATCGGACATACATTAAGGAAATCACCAATGTGCATCACGACTCAATCCCTAACTTGGAATGATGAAGGGAAGCGGAAAAGAGGAAGGCCAAAGAACACACTACGCCGGGAAATAGAAGCCGATATGAAAAGGCTGAATAGTAACTGGAAAGAACTGGAAAGGAAGGCTCAGGACATAGTTGTATGGAGAATGCTGGTGAGCGGCCTATGCTCCTCGACGAGTGGTAACAAGCGTAAGTAAGTAAACATCGTAACTCGGTTGATTGGACATTGTTCTTTAAATCATAAACTTCAGCAGTTACCTCTGAAGGTAAAAATCAGATTAGAAAAGTATTTCGAGGTGTGTAAGAGGATGTTTCAATAAGTGAACTGAACTTCAGCTTTAGTAATACAGGTTGTGGGGCGAATTTCTGAAGTAAAGTAAGCTCGAAAAAGTTCAGGGCAACAAGTTCTGAAGAATTGTTTTGCATGAAACTCATAAACTTTGGATTTATGTATTTCCTTCAATGAAATCCATCACTTAACACAAAAAGAAAAGCATCAAACTGATGGTAAAATAACTTTAAACTTCAGTAAAACAGGACTCATCAGGATTTGTATCAACAACCTGTGGGTGAAGTTAGAAGTTCGTAAACAAATATTCGTGGTACAATACAGAAAACAACGATAATATTTGCACATAAACGAATATACAGTAGTGAATAAAAATAATAACTTTGAGATTAGATATGTTACTGGTGAGAATCTTTGTTACCAACCCAGTGGAAACCGGGTTCACCCGGTAAGTTAGGGTCCTATTGGTTGCTTGGCATCAAACGGTATGAAGAAATGCTCATGTTCCAGTCTTAGGATACGAAAAGTCTGCACTCTCACAAAGTGAAATTTGAGCTGAAAATAAATGCAAATCGTTATAATGTGCGATCAATGCTATCATCAACAAGAAGGAAATAAAAAATGAATGGACAAGGCATTTAACATAACACTACAGGAGCATGTAGTTAACGTGATAATCAATGTATATTGTATAACCGATACACAAGAAAAAAGTACTGAATACCATTATAATCATATATGTACAGTGTGATTGAAGCAATGGATGATTCATTTTTCATTATGACTATAAAAATTATGTAATTTTCCTATCGAAATATACACTAATGACCCACTGATGTGTATTGAAAGCAACAATGAAATGAGGTCTTTTATTTCCCGAACAATCATTATGAGCTATTTGAAGGTATATGAGGTCAAAATGCAAAGTGTTGGAATTTTGTTTAACCACATGCTTTATTTAATAAAGCGCTCCGTTTAGAACTGGTTCGGTCGTGATGTGGATTGCCAGGAAATGACCAATACTGGTGTGTTTCATTTGGATATGCCGGAAGCCCCAAGTTATGACGACAGTGAGGAGAATTCCCACGATTATTGCTCGACAAATGGGGGGGTAGAGGTAAGCTGTCTGATTCTGAAACTAGTGTTATAGGATGAGTTTCTTGAACACGGCCCACTTAAGCCAGAGGAGTAAGCTTAGAAGATTTTAGGTTTAATTAATCTGTAGACTCGATGAAAATATTAAAACAGTTGAAATTTGCGAAGAGACGGTGAATCCTGGTCAACCTAAAGTCCGTCCACACGATTTCCAACTTTTGAAAGTCCTTGGGAAAGGTGGTTATGGAAAAGTATAACTCTGGCCTTGTTTTACAATACATATATAGGTTTTTCTTGCACGCAAAATCGACACTGGCCAGACTTATGCCATGAAAGTTTTAAAAAAAGCGTCGATTGTGACCAATGCGAAGGATACTGCACACACTAAAAGCGAGAGAAATATACTCGAAATGATTAAAGTACATCCCCAATGTTATATTTTATGTGTAGCATCCATTTCTAGTTCAATTGCATTTTGCTTTCCAATCCCCTGGGAAGCTTTACCTAGTTTTGGAGTTTCTTGCTGGAGGTGAGCTGTTCATGCAACTTGAGAAAGAGGGAGTGTTCATGGAAGATCAAGCCAGGTGAGTTGGCTCCTGCATCTTATTGATTTTGTCTCGATATATGCATGTTACTTATTAACTTGGGTTAGTATGTTGTTTTTTTGTACTTAGTTTCTAAAAGTGATCGAAATAGTTCTCTAGAAAGTCACCCATGCAAGTACTGAGCGATGGTGGTAGATCAGTTGATGAGGTCATGAATCTTCATCGACTGAGATGGCTAGGCCACGTGTTACGCATGCCTGAACACCGATTACCACGACGCGCTATGCTGACTAGTATTGACAATGGTCGGAAGAGAGTTAGGGGCGGCCAAACCAAAACGTGGCATCAGTGCTTGAAGTCACGAACTTCTAGTCTGAGTCATGTTGGCAGATGCAGACTACCTGGTTGGGGCCCGCGTGACTATCGTAACCAATGGTTGGAGATTGAGTGACATGGCTCAGAATCGATCAGAATAATGTAGGTGTATACACTTTATCTTGCCTTAAACCTTGAGATTAAAATTGCTTCATAACTTCCTTCCTATAATGTATCCTTATATACAACTTTTCTCTTATATACTACCACCACTAAATCAACTATGAATCCGGTGTTCATCTTGTGCTAACGAGGTATGGCAACTTGGACCGTTGCATAAATGTGCCTGGTCCTATGTTGTAGCTGACCGACTAAAATAAAAAGTATTTGTTCGTGGGACTTTATGTAGACCACACGCGTAACGAGACAATTCAGTTCATTTCGCAACGGAAAATCACGACAAATGTTAAGCAGTACACAAGGTTCAAAGCAGTATTATGGTGCTTACAAAACGATGAATTTGACTGATATTTGGTTTAATCGAAGTAGCATGATTGTCTTATGTACACTTCAAATTCAAACTAGTCAGTTAAGAACTGACTACTAGTTAAGAACCCTAACTCGAGAACGATTGACTCGTGAGGAGCAGGCTGGTTTTCGTTCTGGTCGAGGATGCATTGATCACATCTTCACCCTCCGCCAAATGTTAGAACACCGTCATACTTATCGCAGGCCAACAATCGTAGTGTTTCTTGATATCAGGGCTGCCTTCGATTCGTTGGACAGGACTGTTCTCTGGGATTGTCTATTGAAGAAGGGTGTGCCTGAGAAGTTCATTAACATCTTAAAGGCCCTGTATACGAACACCTCAGGCAGAGTGAGGGCATACAACCACCTTTCTCCCTTGTTCCATTCGAGCAGTGGGGTTAGGCAGGGTTGCCCGATCTCACCATTCCTCTTCAACTTTGCCATCGAAGACATTCTGGAAACAGCTCTGATGAATGTAAGTAATGGCGGTGTGGATATGTTGCCTGGAGAACGACTTCTCGACCTTGAGTATGCGGATGATATTGTCTTACTGTGCGATAATGCCCAAGGCATGCAATCCGCACTTAATCAGTTGGCAATCAGTGTCCGCAGGTACGGCATGTGCTTTGCACCCTCCAAGTGCAAAGTACTCCTACAAGACTGGCAGGATTCTCATCCTGTACTCACCCTGGATGGTGAGGAGATCGAAGTAGTTGAGAAGTTCGTGTATCTAGGTAGCTACATAAGTGCTGGTGGTGGCGTGAGTGATGAGATTGATGCACGTATAATGAAAGCCAGAGCGGCTTATGCCAATCTGTGCCATCTTTGGCGCCTTCGTGATGTTAGTCTGGCTGTAAAAGGTCGGATCTACAACGCGTCGGTGAGAGCAGTTTTGTTCTATGCTTGTGAAACCTGGCCTCTCCGAGTTGAGGATGTTAGACGATTCTTTGTGCTCGATCATCGTTGTCTCCGAAGAATTGCTGACATCCAGTGGCAACACCATGTTAGTAATACAGAGGTTCAGCATCGTGTGTTCGGGCGCCGAGACGATAATTCAATTGGTGTCACCATTTTGAAACACCAACTTCGGTGTCTTGGACATGTTTTACGAATGTCGTCCCAGAGACTTCCACGTCGTGCATTATTTGCCGACCCTGGGACTGGTTGGAGAAAGCGGAGAGGAGGTCAGTGTATGACATGGTGTCGTGGCATGAAAGAGAGCTGCAAAGGGCTAGCTTTTGTTGGTCCTTCACGACTCCCTGGCTGGGGTCCGAGAGATGGTGCAACACAGTGGCTAGAGACGTTATCAGATATGGCTCAGAATAGAAGCCAGTGGCGGTCCTGCTGTAACCTTCTTCTACTTTCTGCATAAAGAGTGGCTATAACTTTCGTAACTGAGAGCTCTTCTGGTTGTACATTCAGTTCCCCACATCATTACTCTTCTCCTTTTCTTTTTTTCCTTCTTTTATATATACGCATCTCCTTCTTTCTCCCATTCTCATTATTTTGTGTGGCGCATATGTATCCGGTGCCCTTCGTACCAATATATTTGTGATTAAATAAATAAATAAATAAGTAATAAATCCACTTACCAGTGCCTGAACTACGTAGCTCTAGTTGCTTCATGGGTCTGTGGGATTTTATTCAGTGTTTTTTTATTAGGTTTACCAAAAAATATGGTACCCGAGTTTTGACTGTACAGGGTGTTTTCATTCGAATCAATGGGGTTCGTAAAATGTTATGATTTTCACCAGTCATAATATGTTTAGCTTCAAAGGCGTAAGATTATATTAACAGAACTTGGATTTAAACTTCGGTCAGTGCTTCACACTCAGCACGTCTGGTTCGCAAGCAATCTAGTGTAATATTAGAAAATTCCTATTAAGGTCTATGTGCCTAAGGTAATCGAGCGCATCAAAACGTCCATATGAGTTATCACGAATCGACCAAAGTTGTACATAAGCATCATTAGGCTAGGACTTAGCTGCTGAAAAGTCCAGTGCTTCCTGATTCTCAATAGATGTCTAATCTAAGTTCGTAATATCAGTAAGTCGATTTGCCGGAAATTGTTTTAAATGTTGCAATTTTCTTGTATGGTGAGATGAGGGTACTGCGCTATCTTGGCTTTTACGAATTGTTTGCACACAGCTGTGGGGTTAAATGAACTCTCGTCTCGTTTAATTTTGGTGCGAGAAATCAAGCGCCTATCTATAGCCACCAATAATGGTCGCAGTGGAAACGAAACGGATACGTTTTAGTTCATTTGGTTTGGCTTCAGTCATTCAGTCCGAGGTATCAGGCAAATAAAGTTTTTGTCATTTTACATGTGGCCTAAAATTTTCATTTAAAAGCCTCAAGTCAAATATTCGGAAAATAAGACATTTCCGGCATTTTTTTATCATTCATTTTATTTGGTAAATGACTGAAATAACTTGGATTGATTTTTTTTGTTTCCCTCAGTTTTTATTTGGCCGAAATAACTCTTGCCATTGGTCATCTTCATTCAATGGGAATTGTTTATCGAGATTTGAAACCCGAAAATGTACTTTTAGACCATCAAGGTCATGTTAAACTAACGGATTTTGGATTGTCTAAAGAGAGAGTTGATCGCGATCATTTAACTCACACATTCTGCGGGACTATTGAGTACATGTAAGTACTAAATAATTTTGGATCGTGTCTGAGTATTGTTTGTGATAAATGAAGTTAGAACAAGTGTAACCCTAATGTTTATGTTGTTAGTTGTACAAGTCAACCCAATTTTTAGATTTATTTATTTAAACGACTATTGGTACAACGGGGCACCAGATACGTATGCGCTACACAAATCTCGTTTGATTTGTGTGAGGGCTGTGATACTGTTCGAGTGCCCAAACCGAAGCAGGTGGTTTTCTTAGGAGGGTCACACCCCGAGCCTTCGACCCAAAAATCTGATCCACAAAGCAGTAGAGCATCGTAAGGAGATGCAGTCCCATGGTAGCCGGTGGCCAACGATTGATTCATACGACATTTGTTCCCTCAGAATACTGGAGCCCATGTACACCATTGGTTTGGAATGAGGGTTTTCCAACTCCTCTAGGTGAACTTTCCGTGTCCACCGACCCGGCTAAAGCGCCGAACATTCGCTTTTCGTCGTCTCAATTACGTAAACAACACCCTCGATGAGAAGGCAGTGAGTAGGACTTCCTTGGCAGAGTCTATATACTTGTGGCCGTGTGAGAGCATTTCGAGATGGATGGTGGCCCCTCCCCACTCTCGCCCGTACCAAGGCATTTAGGGGGCCAATTTGCAGATGGTTTTCATGAAATAGCATCAGCTGATAAACCAATCAATTTTAGAAGCACTAAACAGCTTTTCTGGTTACTTTGGCATTTCTTACCAAGCTTTACCCACTTCAAAACTTGAATACTTCTGACTCCACGACAATCACACTATTTTCCAATAACTGATTCAGAGTGTATTGTTACTCATTTTCATTTCTATCCTATTCGCAGTACTAAAAACGGATGTATAAGGGAATTTTATGTATGGTAATGGAAAGACGAATGATACTAGTAAATACTTTCTTTGTTATAAATAAAGCGGGATCGTTAAAATCAAATAATTCCGTTCTCAACTTCATTGGTAAGCAGCTGTCTCAGTACACCGCTTTTGTTTGATTTTTCTAATCAAATAAACTTTGAATGTTATGTTCTTATGTATTTATTCGCGATCTCGTCCCCATAATTGAAGATACAAAGGTTTGTTGTCAAGGTATATAATTTGTTTCTCGTTTTTGTCTGATAGCATGAAGACTTAAAACTGCGTTAATACCCATTATTCAGTCTCGTCTGTTTAATGGTCTTTTTGGAATATTGTAATTAAGATCAATTTTGTGTTCACTTTACAGGGCTCCCGAAATACTGTTACGTCAAGGACACGGAAGGGCCGTTGATTGGTGGAGTCTTGGCACGCTTATGTATGATATGCTTTCGGGATCTGTAAGTTCTTCGCCTAATTGTATATTCGCTTGATTATTTTACGTGAAAACTGATTCCTATTATTCTCACTTTCAGCCTCCATTTACAGGCGATGATAGAAGACAAACTATTGACTTGGTAAGCAATCATGTTTTTTTAAAATTAGGGAAAATACATTTATTTTGACAAGTCGTTTGCAAATGACTGACTGACTTTCGTCAGTACCTAGCAAAAGCGTGAAACACCTCAATGTCAGCTATCAAAAAGAAGTAGAAGGTATTTTGGACTTTGAGTTGTGAGAATATAAGGAAATTTGAATATTTTCAGTGTTTTTAATCCAATCCGTCGTACTCAGGAAGCATCCATTTTTGAGACCTACTTTCTTAATTATACTTATGAAACAAGGCTAAGCCACTTAAATGATCAGCAACAAAATCAGTTGCATCCCCCCATGTTTTTTCCTAGAACTGGTTCAGATATGGAAAGCTTAATTGATATGAGAACCACTTAATATGTGACACCTGTGCGGATTGGGAGTATTTTGCAAACTGTTCAATGTTTTTAAGTTTTTCTTAAGCCACTTACTGCGCTTGCATTTTCTTTTGAACTAAATATTGTAATAAGATTCTAAAGTTGAATGAACCCTGTTTTGTGTCATGAGGAATTCGTGTTTCTGAAAAACAATATATTTTGTCAGTCACTCCTATTGTACATTGTTAGGTTCGTCAACAAGGTAGATCTATAAGCTAGTCGTTTAATACAATTTTACTTTGTTTTAGATATTACGAGGTGATTTTATACCTGTACCTTATTTGAGTCGAGAAGCCGTATCACTTATTTCAAAGGTAAGTTATGTAATTCGACTTTCGTATAATTAGTTACGTTAACCACTTACTTGAATAACTTGTAACCGTCCCTAAAATGTCAAGTTTGACCTTTTAGTTTCGATACTTCTTGGAGTACGGTTGTTAGCAAATTTGTAAAAGTCGGGGATCGCAAACCGTAGTACAATATTTCACACCCGTATAAATTAATGACTAGAAAGATGCTTACTGATTTCTGAATTAGTATTCAAGAAACAAAGTACTGTAGTAGTTTTTGGGAACATTGACAGTACATAGCAATTATATTCTCTGAAGAGTCAGCTTTCTTCACTGGATTAGGATGATTGAGGCACTTAGAAATGGTAAAGCTGTGATCCATAAGCCAATACGACAGTCAACAGAATTATGGACCTCCATTGACTCGGTTGATTCACGCGTTACACGTCAATTTACAGTCTATCCCGGCTAGCTATAGCCAGACCATGTTAAATAACGGCTGCATGCGACCAGACTAAAACGCTCAACCAGTCCGTATAGTCACTCACTCTTGGCTTGAATAATGTAAAGGTATGCAGACCTCTAAATCTCAAAGGTTTTATTATTCACCATTTGTTCTTTGCTGCCCATGGTCATCTGTATTAGTTCTAAGTTGGTGATGCTCTTTTCGCTGTTGTGAAGTGTGATAACTCAGTTGAAAGTGCTTCGTTGCAGTATGTATTAAACAAAAAATTCAGCAAACATCGTAAATCAGTGTAATTTTTGATCATCAAATCAGATTTTTTCATGAAGGTTAGGCCAAATATTAAAGTCATTAGTTAAATTAATTTATTGATTTGCTTAGCAGTTCTTAAAAGTACCTTATTTTTCATGATTGCTGACCAATATGAAGGAAAAATCAATCTAAACCTCTCTGAAAGGATAATTCCTTTTTTGATATCCTCAATTTATTCGTCAGCACTCATTTGCATGCTTGATTTATTCCATAATTCCTTTAGCTTTTAGTTGTTGATGTCAGTAGACGCCTTGGTTCTGGTCCATCTGATTCCGAGGCGATCAAAATGCATCCATTCTTTCGTAATACTGATTGGGATCGTGTTCTGAAAAAGCAGGTCGAACCACCCTTCCGACCCACTTTGACATCTGACACAGATGTTTCTCTTTTCGATCCAAAATTTACGCAAGAAAATCCCGTCGAAAGTCCGGATGAGGGCTTACCAATATCTGCAATGGTTTCTGATGTTTTTGAAGGATTTACTTATGTTGACCCGCAAATCCATATTGACATGGCCCGTGATCCATGGGTATCTACTTGGCAAACCAGTTCACGCTCGCGTCGAAGGTCTGGAATTTCATCTAGCAGGTAAGTTTCGGATGTTCGCGTATTAATCACATTTTGGGTGTATGAAATTGTTATAACTTGTTGCCGCCTAAATGCCCTGTTAATGTATGGTGTGATAATACCGCGAATTAGAGAGCAGTGATTTATCGACCGGACCAATGACACCCAAAACCCGTACGAGAAGTCTAGAGCACTCGTTGGTCCTGCTTTCTGCCTAACCCAGCCAGTTAAGTCCAGAACACCAATAACAGCTTCTGCGGTATGAATCTTTTATTTCAAACATACTGGGTTTATATGCCAAATAGACAAACCACATCGTGCCATAAAATAAGGAAACAACATTTGTACAATATTTAGCCAAATGTGGCTGTGAATAAGGGAGGTAATAATTGATAGACTGGGTATAACTCAAGAACGGTAAATCATATAACAATAGTTCATAGGTCAAAATAGAACCTTTAATAAGAGGGACACGAATATAGATATTTTAGTTAGTTAACAATTATACGATAGAAAATATATGCATAGTATTGGTCCATAGATGGATCCCAAGGTTACCATTCACTATTCTTATTGGGAAATAACAGAGATATCTGTATTACAACTATGGGTTTTCTAAATATTCATGTCTGATTTATTATGATGATACGGTAACTAGGTACACTGATATGTTTTACGCATTTTAGTTCTCCGGGCTTTGTTGGACATACAATTATGGCAAATCCAAATACTCTTATGCAAGGAACTGATGTTCTACATGTTGGAACCCCACACCCCGAGCAATTGCAGTCTACTTTGGGTTCATATCTTCCAAATACTATTCAAACTTCTATCCCGACTCAGTCACAGCCGTTTGTTTTTGCTGAAGATTTCGAGGATATGGACGTCGCCAGTACTAATTTAACCTGCAGCAACAACCCACTTGATAGTCATTCAAATGTCATTAACACTGTCAATATATCCACCAGCAATTCTGTAAGACTTACATGTGCTTTACCTCTTGGTTCTCATCGCTTAGATAATAGTCGAGTGATGGAAACTGGTATTTGTGATCCATATTCATCGCGCTCGACTGAACATGTTAATGGAATAATTCCAAAGCCACTTGACACACGTCTAGTAAGCCCGTCAAGTTCTGCTGCTGCACAGGTATCAGCACTTGCTGCAGCAGCGCTTGCTACTTCGTCCCGTTTGGTTGGTTCTTCTGTACACATACCTTCAATTGCGTCTCATAACTCTTCCAATCGACCTTTCGTGAATGAGCATATGATGTTTGATCCTCAAAATATCAGACTTATGAATTTGGGAAAATCACAACCACAAACTTCATTAGCTGCAGTAGAAAGTTTGCATATTCAGAGGAAATAGTTTCTGTTCGTTGAAAGAGAAATAATGAAGCTATTCAATTTTTCTATATTTCTCAGGCTTCATAATTTTATTTATGTATGAACTAAGTGGATTGGTATGTATTACGAACACCTAGTTTTATTTCATGAATGTTAGAATTTTGACGCAAATTTTGTCATTTTCCCTATTCTGATATGCGTATTTTGTATGCAACTGATATATTTTTTGTTGTGTGCTATTTTCATCCCAAACAAGCTCATCTGTGAGTTTCTTCATGTACAATATCTTACACGTACTATTCACAAGATTCTGATATTCTTACAACCACTATATTTCGTTAAGATAGTGTTTTTGATTCCTACCCAGGAATACTATACATATATAGTATTATGACAGTTTTGTTAACAATGTATTTTCCCCCATTTCAATATCTGATCTTTTCTTGAAGCATCATTTTGAATCAAATCTCGATTAAAATGTCTTGGATCCCAAACACGTAAATAGTATTCCCAAACGCAATGCTTTACATGAATGTACAATTTACGTATATTATCTGATAAATTCATTGTTGTTTTGACCCAGTGGATGTCTTCATCTAGCCAACCATAGTATATTCATATTTTTACTTTCTTATTTATAACACTCTGCGAACTGAGTGATTTACTAACTGTCAGATGTACCAAACTCTTTGTTTAGATATTTCTATATATCTTATTTCACTGAGAAACTTTGTCAAATCGTTGGCTAATTACCATCCATAACTTGAGTAATGTTTTGCATGTTAGTGTACATTTATATGAGTATTTTATGCGTTTTTCCTCTTTGTTGTTTTCATTTTTGCAATTATTTAATTTATCCATTAGTCAAACCAACAAATAATCAGTTATTTGGATTTTACAATCATGTATTTATTCATATGTTGGTGATTATCTTTTTCTCTATCGACCCATTAAGCATTCCTACCTCGATAGTTATTTTCTCCTCTGAGTTTTCTTGCCATGGTAATTATCTTGGTTCATAAAAGCGTTTTACACATCTTTACGGAAAATGCGATATTTTTGAAGCACCATATGTGCCTCCTTTTGTAATTTTTGTTATCTTGTTAAATGTCGATTCCTTACCGGGTTAATACTGTATGGTTTGTCTATACTGTTAGCCCACTGGCGTATTCTTTGTCATTGTTTCTGTAATTGAAGAGATATTTGACTTGCTACCTTTAACTTCACAGGGCTTCCTGGTACATTATGAAAATTGATTAATGCTTTACTATTTATATTATTTTCTCTCTAACTAAAATGCTTCTTCGAGTCTTACATTACTTATCACTTCGTTGACGCCGTTTTGATATTATTATTTATGTTGACATGCTATTGTTATTGTTCAACCCTTCAAATGTAAAAAAATGAACTTTCCTGTTGCCTAAAGTGAATTGTGTAAATCAAAAAGTGGTATTCTCTCAATCTTTCAATTTTTAAAATCCCAATTTGCTTTCATATGATATTTCAGTCTCTTCCTACAAAGATTTCTTGTAACTCTGCCGTAACTGCCTTTCAACGGTGATTCGAATAAAAATACTTTTTCATAGATAATTTTTTGATTATTTTTCTTTGTTGTTGTGTGTGACGTAGTTGCCTGTACGTTTAGTAATCGAAGTTTACGGGTTGTCTCTGTTCTTATTTACTAAAATCAAGGTTTAGGTATACTTATAGCAGCATTTTTTGCATATTCGGTTAATTATGTTAGCGGGAGCGTCTGTAACAAGAAAATTGGTTGCCTGGTTGTATCCACTAATTTTATCGTCAGTATTTGAATAAAGGTGATTTGTCAATTAAAGGAGTGAGTAGATTAGAATAATTTAATATTTACTTCCCCCTGTGTAAGTAGCTGACTGTTGTGTATTTCTCAGGAAGTATTAAAATAGTAATCCGAAAGACTGATTTTAAGTTATAGGGTACCTTTATCTGAAAATTTTAAGTAAATAAAATGAAAATATTCTGTTATAAATTTAGAATAACTTGATTTGTAGAGTAGCTGTTTATTAAAAAGATATTAGGGTTCGGAAGTGGCATTCGATCCTTTTTCTCACACAAACTAGATCCATGTATACTGAATATATTACAATATTCTGAAAGCTTGAGGTGGGTGTTTATATTATGACGTCATAAATGTGTTTTTTCTTTAAAATTTTTACAGAAGATGAAGAGGTCATTTTCTGATGATACAAATCCGGACCATGATTTACTACATGGATCTACTTCACAATTAGATTCGACTCCCCCTATCAGTAAACGTTTAATTTCAGCTGCATCTGAGCCTATATCATTCACTCGAATCTCATCCTTGGAGGAACTTGATAAGAGAGCGTTACAACTTCAAAATAAAAAACTATGGGAAGCTTTAATGGAACGTCGAGCTGCCATTGCTGAATTGAAGGAACGAATCGAACACCTGGAAAATCGCCAAACTAAGGATGATGCACTACTTTGTGTAGTCAATCGTTACTGGAATCAGGTGATTTTAACAGAAATATTTCACATAGATTATTAGTGCTATGTTAATTCTAGTGATTGTTCGCTGGATATATAGGCTTAATCTTACTCCTCAGTACACCAGAGTGTCTTGTATATTACAGATATGTATATTCCTTAAGGCATACAGTGTACATTACAACACAAGAAAAACTTTCATTTTGTAATCTATTAATAATCACTTACTATTCAAAAGCTAAATGTTTTCAAAAGTAATTGAAAACAGATCAGATTTATTAAAATCTGACAGTCGTTTTTGACTGCACTCCTTAGTTTTCGATTCATTCGTTGCCAACTTCACCACTTTAAACACGGGTTTTATGTTCATCACAGGTTGTATGTCCGATCTTCAGTTTGTTTACCCTTTATTCTATAACTAAGATCACCACTTGTTGTTATAAGTTATTCCTATTATCGAGATTTTCGGTTTCGATAAGACCGATTTCTTTAAATTTTTCAAGTGTAAGAAATCAAATTGTATTAAGTTAGGATGCTCAGTGTATTCCATGTAATTGGGTTATCATTTTATGGATGCCCAGATCGTAATTGTAGGGAAGTCAACAAATTACTAAAAAATATGAAATTCAAGCAACTGGTAGTATGATGCATTATCTGGCAATTTTCTGATCGCGCCATGCACGTAAACCAATATCATTGTCATATTTCATGGAATTACAATGACGTTATTTATTTATTTATTTAAACACATAAATATTGGTACAACGAAGCACCAGATAAATATGCGCCTTACAAATCTCATTCGATTTGTGTGAGGGCTGTGATACTGCCCAGGTGCCCAGACTGAAGCAGGACAATGACGTTAAGAGTAAGTTTACCGAAAGTTGTGTTTTATTGGTGTTTGACCCTGTTCATGTCGAACGTACCGAATAAACAACTTTCATGTGTATTCAAAACAAGTGAACAGTGATTTAGTAAATAAGGGATTTTACATCTTATAGGATTCGAAAATGTTGACATGTATTTCGAATCATTGAACTTAGAATCTGACTGCTGTCTACTAGTTTTACTTACTCTAATTATTAACCACTAAAAAATGAACCACATGTGAGGTCACTAACAAACCACATCAATTCCCAACGACCGAATACAAGTGCGTAAATATGAAGTTTTCCAGCCTATATACTGTCATTTTGCTAACATGAATTCACATTTATTGCGTACGCTTTCCGTAGATGTAAGGTTTGTATACAAAAACGCTGTGGTTTAAAAATAACGTTTATATCTTCACTAAACGTTTCATAGTCAATCACTGTTAGATTAGAATAAAGACAGTAGCATTCTTCTATTTTGTGGGTATATTCGTAGAATGGTTCCAGAGCATGTAAAATAAAATCTTGGCATGACATAGCATACAAATGTACTATAAAACTTTTGGAGCATACAATCACTTCTTAACTAACTATTTTTTAGTGTTGTATCAGCCAGTAAAATCCAGCAACTTGGAGTTTATTTATTCACTACTTTTTTACAGTATATCTTTCCTGTAAACTTATGTTACATTCTTATATCACCTAGCTTGCATACAATCTTGTAGGCTTCTGTTTATCGACTGATGGGACGATCTGTAGTTATGACAATCTATTTCTTAAGATTTAGATATCTAATTCATAGCAAGTCATTAACACTTGTCTAATACAATTCGAAAGTAATACTGCATCATATTTACTACAACTAATACGAGGAAAAATCGCTATTTCTTTAATTTAAACAATTATCATTACCTAAGTAGTTGAATTCATGAGTCAAAGCCAGACCACCATGGAAAACCTGGCAGCACTTGACGGCCGTTTCGTCCTTGTATGGGACTAGTGGATTGCTTGAAGCTAAACATTTACACCGTTGGATGACGGCTCAGTAGTCTAGAGGTTAAGCGGTCGCGTGCAAAACTGATAGGTCCTGGGTTCAAGTCCCGCGAGCAGGGTCGTGGGTGAGCACTGCCGATCTAGCTTTAGTTGATTCATGAATTCGACTATTAAATTACTAAAATCTCTACAAAACCCCCTTCTGATAATTATCATTACATTTATTCATTTTGCTAAGTTATGTGTGAAGAGGCTTCATCAAGGACAGCTACACCTAAATGATGAATACAACTTGAAGCTCTGTCCATGGATGTTAACTGTTTTCGTTTCTATTAATGATGTCACACATTGTTTTGGTGACTGTTTTATTAAGGGTGAATGTTGGTCTATTACTCAATAGTTGTTAGATTGTTATAAACGCAAGCCATGTATACTATATTCGTTAGTCTAGTTGACTAATCATTATTTTATCTTCACGCTTTCAAAAATTCGTAATGAAATTGATTAGTTCAAACGACATGCTTTCCTAAAAGCGAAGAAAAGCGCTAGTACAGTAGGATAGGATTCGAGCAGAAATCCAATCGTATTTACCTTCTAAGCTACCTGAGGGCTAACACAGTTTAAACATGAACGGTTTGGCACAACTTTGCTATGTTTGTAATGCTAATTTTTTGGTGGTCATAAGTTTTTGTCGTTCAAATTGAATATAATTACTGACCTATCACTATTGTTTCTAATTAATTTCCTTTGAAATTTTAGCTCGATGAGGATAGCTTGATTATACTTCAGCGTTTTGATTCGGATGCTGAGGAAGAAAGTATGTATTTCTGTTTTAGAAGCTTATTTTTATCTTTCAATTTTTAATTGGTTATGGGTATGTCTAATGCTGTTCTAGGTGAGATGATTAACTGGGTCGTGTAAATTGCTTTAATTTTTTTAGTTAGCGCTGGACACAAGTATATTTCGTGTAAAAGAATTGGGTATTATTTTTAGTACGCAAAATAAAAATAAAAATCCATAATGGTCAAGAGATTCGGTAAATAGGGCGTTCGCTTATGCGCTGGTTACTCAACAGGACTTAATAATACTCTAGAAACTCATCACTATCCCATCTCTGCCACTAGTGTTTCGTCCTCTAGTTGATTTCGGTAAATATGGTATACGGCTTTGCCACTCAAACGCGTAGAACCCAGTCTCAAGTCTAGAAGGTGAGAAAAGGAAGGAGAAGCGTTTATTGGGTAAGCGTACAAAATGCATAGAAACACAGGTGTATTTATAGTTTTTGGTATAGGCTATAATATCATTACAATCCATCCAATCCCCATATAGGGAGTTTATACGATTCTCCAATCGTAGCATGATGTATTGATATCCTAGAAAGTTATATCAGGTTCTGATTGAACAGAGTCCGGCTTCTTTAGAGTCCTGGAGGCTTTGTCGCGCTTTCTAGAAGCCGTTCTAACGTTCTGACCAACTGTAGCTTCTACTCAGTATAGTCCAACGCCACGCAGAACGTCTGTATTTGTTATGAAAGTTTACCTTCGAACGACTACTGTTATTAATATTCCATTTCTTTTCAGACACTTAATTAACACCTCAAACAGCGTGTAATTGATGTCCTTTCCTACTTTTTTTTTCGTACTCGATTTTCTTTTAGCACAAAGCACTTAATTTCCCCGCTACTGTAGTCATCTGTAGATATTCCATATATAGTGATATCTTTCCTTTCTTCGAAACTTGAGTTATCTCTGCTTAAATGAGTGATGTTTTTTTATCGTTATAGGAGGTACAATTAATCATTTGATCTAATTGTGTTAGGCCCCTTTCATATAATTGGTACCTCTTCAGTTACATTGACCCTAGGACTTGTGTTATTTAGACTAAACTTCTGACTGCAACTCTTTATATGAAGTTTGTGTGCAGATGTCTTTGGGTACAAGCCTCTCGATCTGTGCAACCTGACTAGTGACTCAGTTATCTTAAGCACTATGTTGACAGAGCAACTGCTGTTCGTTAATGCTATGATGGATAATGATATGCAAAGATAACCACCAAATATTTGAGATACAGCAACATCTTGATATCCCTCTTTTCTCTTATTTATTCCTCTTTCATTCTCGCTCCACGTTTTTTATAGTTTCAACATCTACAGAATCATTTCTCAAACAATTGGCCTCATGGGATAAGGAAGAAGTTCCAGAAAAGCTTCAAGAACGAGTACATTTTTCCAAACGTATTATTGCACGCCTCTTGTCTGCCTATGAAAAGCAAGTTCTTTTGATAAGTTTGTGTCTTAATTTTCATGTTTCGTATCTTATTTGTTGGTGCAAAAATAGCTTATACTTCATGATTTTTTGCCATTTGCTAATCGTCTGTTATATTTGCCGGGAACATTTTATACTTTAGTGACATGTTTTGATCATATTTAGTTTTGTTTTTTATGTTATTTGACCATGTATTCCTTATATAGATCATCCTATGTTCTGTTAGCAAAAGTGAACATTATCATACCGTACTGTATATATTTCACGAAATCTTCAATCCTTTCAATTTAATTTCACTAACAAATTCTCCATACTTTCTTAGTCTTTATGATTTGTTTTTTTCAGAATGGTTACTCACCAGTTTCGTTTGCGTCAACTGCTTGGAAACAATACCGAAACCGCATCAGTTTCTGTTGGATCTGAACTTAGTGATAATACTATACCTATTCATTCTAGTTCATCGGCTCCTTATGGCACACACAACCTCGATTCTGAAGGTAACAATCATTCAACTAGTTCATCTCAGGAACCTGCTTCAACAACTTACAGTAAATCTGGTGCAGTAGATTTGCACGAGGAAATAACACTTTTAAACAAGGAAAATTTTCGTCTTCAAAGCCTTTGTACAAATTTGCATTCTAAACATCGACAAAGCAGTCTTCGCGTACGTACAAGTTTTCCAGTTTGTATTGTTGTATGTGTTTTTAACAAACTTTTCCATAATTCATTTTTTGGCGGTTACTTTTTCTAAAAAATAGTCATTATTTCAGTCAGGTCCATGTTATGAATGATACTTTTATATTTTGATGATAGACATATTTTGGGTTGTCAAAAAATGATGAATAGAACGATGATCGATAAACGACACACGTTAATATGGATTGAACTACTGGTAAGTGTTCATGAGAACTAATCATTGACGTATCAGTGGCTTGAGACGTTATCAGACATGACTCAGAATAGAAGCCAGTGGCAATCCTGCTGTGACTTTCACTTTTTTCATAAAAATGAACAACTTTAACTGAAAGAATTGTTTCTGGTTGTATTTTTGCTAACTGAACTGCCTCTCCCATTGTTATTATTATTTCACTCTCATGCACTAATTTCTGTTCGTTGTTCTCCTTTTTCTTATAATACGCACTTTACATTCTTTATCTCTTCACATTCTCATTGTTAATGTGCGGAGCATATGTATTTGGTGCCCCTTTATACCAATATTTATTTGTCCAAATAAATAAATTTTTTTAAAGCGACACTCTTGTATATGAAACGGTGACACAAAAACATGATTAGAAGTCATCTAAAGTGTTGGCGATGGAAGGAAAAAGTTTTTCAGGTCATTCTTACATGCCGTTGCAATTGATAACGTGGTAAATTCTTTATTTTTTCCTCTATATCAACACACATCTTAATGTGTTATTCATGTTTAATGACTAAGAGACAAACGAATGGTCATTAAATTTCAAACTAATATCTTAATAACGTGTCATATTTGTTCTTAAAAAGATCAAGAGATCAAAAGTTGTAAATGTGGAATATGGAATTATAAATGTCCTCAACAGATTATGGTGATTAGTGGACCAAAAAGTTTACTATAAATAGTATTTTTAGACATAACTCAAAAAATCTGACATTTTGTCAATGGAATACAATGTATTCGTCAATTCAACCTCATTCCAAAACTAACATTTCGAAATTTCTTATCCCATATTGCAGTGTTATAATTGAACATTCACCCAGAAATTATTCTATAACCATATTAAAGCGTTTTTCGTCTCATTTCTTGGATATAAAATCACTGTTAGTGTCAGAAGTTGCTAAGAACCTTTAGTATATATGTGAATTTACTATACATATTTTTAATCGTCAGTTTGTATCGGTCGTTTTTTAGCTTCGTGAACTGCAAGACTTAGCTCAGACGAATAGTGACGCGTCGGCGGAATGGCAAGCTAAGTATGAGGATTTAGATTATAAACTTGCGGAAGCGATGAAACAAGTTACGCGTTTAGATCATCGTCTGTATGAAGCTCAGGAAAAGAACAAGAAAATGGAAGTTGAATTATCAGCTCTCAAGTGCTCCGACTCTCCAGGTATATATTTGATTTGGTCTTCTTATTTTGCTTATTCATGATTTTTATTTATTTATTTAAACACATGAATATTGGTACAAACAGGCACCAGATATGTATGTGCCACACAAATCTCATTTGATTTTTGTGAGGGCTATGATACTGCCCAGGTGCCCAAACCGAAGCAGGTAGTTTTCCTAAGGGGCCACTCCCAGAGCCTTTGACTTAAAAGTCTGATCAACCAGGCAGTTGAGCATCGTGAGGAGATGCAGTCTCATGGTAGTCGGTGACCAACGATTGATTCATACGCCATTTGTTCCATCAGAGTACTGGAGCCAATGTGTACCATTGGTTTGGAATGAGGGTTTTCCGATTCCCCTAGGTGGACTTTCCGTGTCCACCAACCCGGCTAAAGCGCCGAACATTCGCTTTTCGTCCTCTCAATTTCGTAAACAACACCCCCGCCACGAGAAGGCAGTGAGTAGGACTTCCCTGGCAGAGGCTATATATTCGCTGGCCATGTGAGAGCATTTGGAGAGAAAGAGCGGACTCTCCCCACTCTCGGCCGTACCAGGACATTCATGATTATTATTCAAATCACTCAGTATTATGCGTGTACTCAGGTGTAAAGTTTTACATTCAAGTCTATTGACAATTATTCTTGTGTAGAAATTTGTCAAAGTTTTCAGTGTTTCCAATAATAACATTAACATCAGTTGATACTTGTAATAGAATTAATAGTTAAGCTTAGGTATTCCTTTTCCTTGATTATATGTTCGACATTTTCCCAATCGTAATTGTATATAGTTTCCTATAATCTATCACATTTTTCATAACATGGAACGAAATTAGACATTAAATAGGAATAATATATTTGTAAAATCTCAGCGAATGAATTTTTAAATTTAATTTAAAAATTCATTCTCTGAGATTTTACAAATATATTATTCCTATTTAATGTCTTACTTCAACTCGGCGCTCAAATACTGTGAAACTATTCGTTCTAATTTAGACGAGAGTTCTTATATGGAACGAAATTAATTTATTATCAGATGTGTTAATTTACCCAAAAGCATCATGGAAGTCGGTCAGAAATAATCAGTAGAAAAACGGATTTAGTGAAAACTCTAGACTTCTTGGTTAGCATGGGATTAGATAAGTTAAAGACGTTATATATTGCCAAACTAAAACTGGATCACGTTACAAAAGTTTGGTGCTTAATCTAATATATGAGCCCTATGATTTAAGTTCATAAAATGAAGGTATTAAAATACATGATGCTTGCTACTTTTCTGAACTTTCCGTGTATTATTTTTAAATTTAATTAGTATGTTTAGTTCCCCACTGATGTTATCTCGTATTTTTTGCTTCTCATTTTGTTGATTCTTGTCTTTATGCTTGAATGGATACATTTTTCTTAAAGACAGCTTATTTTTTTTGAACAAGTAATTAGTTTTAAAGGTCTTGACATTGTGAAAAATTTATTAGATTCGTGACCTTGTAGTTCGTTATTGTATTATTTTATAGTTCAACAATATTTTCCCTCTCTTGTAGGTCGTGAAGATCCTTCAAATGTTGATGGATCAATTACACGGAATAAATATAATGACTTGGCTTGTGAACTGGAAGAGTACCGTGAGTTGGCAAATAATCGTGTAAATGAATTAGAGCGCCTTCAACGTCACTTAGAAGACAAAGTTGCAGAATGTGCTTCATTGAATATGCAAGTTAGTTTTGACTTTTTTTTTTAAAAAAATTTCCTGATTTCACTGTCATTTGGAATCTTACGGAATTTCGATGAACCCACTCAGTTTTTTTCAATACACTTCACATAATTATGTAATTGGAAATCTCCAGTGCTGTTTATACTCAAAAGTGCAATTATTTTCTTGTATTCGAGTGTAGTGTTTCAAGAGCCTGTTTTTCACTTCCGAGTTTCTGTTAGATTGTCATTAACATGAGTATTCTGGAGGCTAGTTTAATCACACTAATCCTTTTGTGCTCATTTCAGGATGACTTGTGGGTGGCCGGAAATTGAGACCATTAGTACATTATTATTATTACATTCAACCTCCACAATTGAACCAATATTTCATTGTAATTGTAGATAGTCAATTCGTTTTAAGAATTCTCCTTTATTCATTTTTTTACTGTGACAAACAAACGTAAAAGACGCAAGTTGTTGCTTCAGGACTAGCTTATGTCAACACGCGTCGACGACTTCACTTATCTTGGAAGTCTGATCAGCCCTCATGGGTTGGTGACTGATGAAACCTCAGCACGGATTCAAAAAGCTCATTTGGCTTTTGCCAACTTACGTCACCTATGGCGAAGACGAGATATCCGTCTATCAATTAAAGAACAAGTATACTGCACAGCAGTTCTCTCTGTTCTACTTTACGGATGCGAAACGTGGCCATTAAGAGTAGAAGATACTCGTAGGTTACTAGTATTTGACCACAGATGTCTTGGAAATATTGCTCGCATCTTCTGGGATCACCGGGTAAGTAATGGTGAGGTTAAACACAGGGTATTAAGGAATGATGGTAAATCAGTTGATGAGATCATGAATCTACATCGACTGAGATGGTTGAGACACATGTTACGTATGCCTGGACACCGATTACCACGACGCGCAATGCTGACTAGTATTGGCAATGGTTGGAAGAGAATTAGGGATGGCCAAACCGAAACGTGGTATCAGAGCTTGAAGTCACTAACTTTTAATCTGAGCCATGTTGGTAGATGTAGACTACTTGGTTGGGGTCCGCGTGACTATAGTAACCAAAGGTTGGAGACTCTAGGTGACATGGCTCATAACCGATCACAATGGCGTAGGTGTATACACTCTTTATCTTCCCTTCAACTGTGAGATTAAAATTGCTTTATACCTTTCTTTCTACGAAATTATTCTTTCTTCCTGTATTATATCCTTATATGCAATTTTTCTTTTTTATATTACTACCATTGAAGTAACTGCTTCTATGGATTTTGTGTTCATCTTTTTGTGCTAATGAGGTGTGGCAACGTGTACCGATGCATATATGTGTCTGATCCTATGTTGTAGCTGACTGACAAACTAATGTTTGATTTCTAATTGTTAGTATGTACATCACAATCCATCACATAATTTACATCCCGAATTTTTACCTTCATAGTTTTTTTTATTGATATATCTTTTGCTTTATTAGTTACGAGATATTCCCGAGCATATTATTATAGAATCTCCTCAATATCTATCCCTAAAAACTCAATTCAATATTCTATATAATGAAGCTATCCAACTAAGAAGTCAGTTAGAGGAAGCTAGAAGCACTATTCAAAATAACAGACACAGTCATCTAAAACAGATAGAAGAAATGGAGGTGCGTCTTAAAATCAATTTTTCTTTTTTTCCCCGTTGTTTGTTATATATATGTTTTTATGGAGCGGTCGCTTAGTGATCAGGCCTTTCTATTTACGACCATTTAGTCCCAGGATCGGGCTCCACTGCATCCACTTTGGTTTGAGAGACCGGGTAGTATTTTAGCTCTTATACCCATATCCAAGTATCTGGTAAATGAGTTGATTTGCTATTTATGAATATGTTTTATGTAATCCTTCTGTTAATGATTTTTATACACTGTGAATGTCATCTAAACACATTACAAAGCCTTAGTGTAGTCAGCAGAATTATCTGTAAAATGAACATTAATAGCAACCTGGAATGTTGGATGCTTTCATGAAAACAATCTCATCCACAAATGGTATCTTGTTTTAATGTAGGAGCAGTTCGCTTGTTGATTAGTTTCTATGTATTCTATCCTTTAGAGAAGGGTTCTAGTTCTCAAACGGAATAGAAATGCTCATCATACAAGTACATTATTATTAAGCTTACCTAAATCGAGTTCGCATGGCATATGCAGTTCTTTGATAAATTTATACATTTCGGAAGACGTTCCCTGTTCTTAGAATTTTTTCCAGCTTAACATACTTACATACCTCTGACGGCTTACGTAATTATCATGATTTTGACTGTTTAAAACTACATACGTACCCTATAATCATAAAGTAGTTTCGAGATATTGTACAACTCATTCAACTATTGTTCGCACATCTTGAATTTCTTATAATTGAAAAATTGTTAACTTGACAAAATGTGAATCATGATGAGATTTCTCATAAATTGTTTCTCAGAAAATATTCTGAATTCTATCCATATCTACACATAAGTTTCACTGGGATTTTTTGATTACATAGCATATATTCCATTATATGGGTCATTGGAATTCAATTGACTCATGATTTCAACTATGAAAATACTGAAATCTCCACAAAACCCCTTCTGATCATTTGGATTTGTCTAACAAACTAGACCTATGATACTAAACCATCCACTAACGTTATTTTCTCCATAAAAATCCATTGTTTTTGTCATGTATGTAACAGGACACTTGTCACAGCTGATCACTGCCTCTAGAGGTATCGGCTTTCTTTTCAACTGAAAATGCACTAAGCGACTCAGGTTATCCACACCATTAAACCACAAGAGAACTTATTACTACTTTTTACCTAATATTCACATGATTCTATGTTCAGCCAACGCAATATAATAGCATTTCTGAAGAAAATACATGTGATCTGAATGTCATAGGTTTCTTGGCTTTGCACTGTGTTGTCGGATAAAGGAGTTTCTTTTAGAGTGTGGCATACATATAATTGTTTAAAGTTCTTACCTGTAGATTTTTAATCCCTCATGTGGAATAGAATTATGATTCTACATTTTCGTGAATATGAAATGAATTCTTTAGGGACGGATTCAAATTGCAAAAGATGACTTGGAAAGTATTCGCAACTTAAGTGTCTGAAAAATCACCCGGCTGAATTATTAGTTATTTGTGAATATTGTTGTTATTATATACTACAATCTCTCTGCGGCAATAACTAATTTTAGGTGATTTGTCAGTCGAAAAAGATAGAACTAACGTGTGACTGGAAAAGTCACTACAATTACAGACCTATAAAATATTCCAAATCGTTTCTGTAAGTAATATTAGTGAGAATTGATTATTGTTGCGTGGTTTCTCATTTTCAAACAAAATACACGTCATATATTTGTGTAAATATTCAAGTGGTATTTGTAAATGAGTTCACAACTCCATGTTTGTTTACTGAATATTCATTATATCCTAACTGATTTTTAGTCATTTCAATAGACAATTTGTATGACTTCCACTTCTGTTATTTTTAAAACTCAAGTTGTCCAACGTCATCTCATAACTGGAACACATTATTCTGTAGATAAAATTCTATACCATTATGTTTTTAAGAATTTTCTGTTGACTGTTTACTATTTGATTCTTTTGTATTAGGCAAATGAAGCAGCTATACAAAATCAGATGCGATCTGAAATGCTCCTCATTGAAGGGCAATACTCTCAACTAAGACACAAATATGAAACTATGGAATTAGATTTCAAACAAGCATTGACGCATAATGAACAAGCTGGTCCTATTAGTTGTGAAATGCGTAGTCTAATTTCTACACTCCAAACACAAAACAAACAACTAAAAGCTGAGGTGACTCGTTATCGTAGAAAATGCGAAGAAACTGTACAAGAACGTGAAATGGTCAGTTTTTTATACTTATTTTGAATGTATTTCTGAGTAATTTACCCATCATTTTAGCTATGCCGTAGGACAAATATATTAACTCAGTGATATTTACTCTTTTATTTATTAAAATATAGATAGTGATTTCAGTATATAACTGAATTGTCATCCTCGACTCTAATCAATAAATAAAAGTTTTGGTAAAATGAATACACTTAGGTATTTTATGTTCAATTTCAAAACTTACTTTATACATTTAGATACGTACGGATTTGAAATGCACAGAGGAAGAGTTAGTTCGTGTTCGTACGGCACTTTCAGAGGCAACTGCAGCTGTTATTGCTGCATGTGAAAAGTCAGATCAGTCGACACCATCAACCCCACAAAGCGCAAATCTGCCTCAGACTTCAGTAACAATGCCAGATGTAAGTATTCATTTTAATATGAATTTTTCTTTGAATATAAACAAAGCAACAGTGTTTGTTTATTAAAAGCATTTAATAGATTATGTAAACGTTTTTTTTCTAAATTCATATTTCACTTCAATTTGATCAGACGTTGCGTCATAGAAAACAAAATATCTCTGTTACTATTTTAATTATATGTTTTATTTTTCTCAAATTTCCATGCTAACGTATCATGTAACATTAAGTCTATTACTGACTTTTTTCTTATTGAGGTTGGATCACCAACTGCTGATCCAGAATTAAAACCAAAAAATTCGACTCCTATAAAAGTAGAAGAAAATGTTAAGCATAGTTCTCCAAGTTCATCTACTGCTCGATCTGGCACAGTTACCACTTCAGCAAGCTCTCAAGTCAATGGAAGTGCACCTGAAAAAGTTTTGAAAACTGTAAGTTAATTAAAATTGATTTCTGGAAGATTTAGTTTCAGGCATTTTAAATCATGATAATATCTTTGTTGTATCTCATCAAGTACGGAAATTGAATTTCTGACTTTTTGAGAACTAGCTCAATTTTTTTATCTGCAAGTAGTGACCAATTTTTTCGACTCAGCGCAAGTGTAAATATTAGGAGGAGTAAATGAGACCAAATATTTCATATATACAAATAAGTATATTCATTTTACTGTCATATTATTCGAATGATTTTCCATGATGGACACTTTGTATGTTCCCATGTCTATTTCGGCGTTAATGAGCATTAAATTTCCAGTGTGATTGTGATTCAGTTTGTGTTTTTATGGTGTTATCAAATTAAAACCTACCCCAAATACACGTTAGGTTATGCTTATATACCATATCACGTAGTAAGAGTTTTGCACAAAATCATATGCTTCAGTTACATTTTTTCGACTTATTTAGCTAATTTCTTAAACTGTTTGAATACTTTTATTAATGGAGAAGATTTTCAGCTCATTTAGATATTTCTAGTAGTGTTGTGTTTTTTGAACTAGCACGGAAATACTGTTTAAAATCTCTGTATGATTGTTGAATATGACATTGACTAACTGCTGCTAACCTGATTTGTAGATTTTCATATTTTCTAACATTATTTTCCCTTTTTTAGTTACATTGAATATTCTTCAGCGTTAATTATGATTTCACCAGAACACTCTTCAGTATAAAATGTATCTCAATGGATACAACTTAATCTGTAGACAACTATAATAGTAACAATTTTACCTGCTCTCATATCAACATTTTTGTTTTCTCATTAGGGTTAGTGGAGTTTACCAAAATAAGCGACAGGGCTTACAGTATTCGGAAGTTCAACTTTTGTTGTAATTTATCACTAAATGAAAGGTTTTGAAATAACATGTACATATTCTCTGTTTATATTTTAGGAATCTACTCCCGACTTGCGTTCTAATCTATCGTGTTCTTCGCCATCTAATGAGATTATTCGTGATTTAAAAGAACAACTGAAGTAAGTATCGGCGAGACTATAATTTATGGACGAGTCAGTCTGAAGCGTTTGAGGGATTTCAAAGTCATGGCGCCAATTTCAGTACTTGATGCTCATGTACAGTCGGTTCACAATGGATTTTAGAGAGGACGTGACAATTAAGCGGCTACAATAAATGGGACTACTAAGAACTTCCGTTATTTGTAATTGCGGTAATCAAATGACTTGTAGACCTTGTGCAGATTACCGTGATGTTGTCCTTCGATGTAATATCTGTTGGAGAAAGATGTAGGCTAAAATAGGAACATTTTCACTCGATCCAGATTAAGACTAAGGCAATTTATAATAACTACTTTGAACTGTATAATAAAAGCATCATTAACATTGACTGCAATAATCTCAGATGTTACTGAAGCTTCGACTGTTCAGTGGTATGAGTATTGTAGGGGTATATGTGTAATAAAAATGATAAACTTACACAAACGGAGTACATACAAACAATACTGAAGCTATGTGGTCGAGGCTGAGAGAGTTTTTGTGACTTTATAATGACTCCAGAAACCTACTGTTATAGAGCCATATAAATGAGTTCCTCTACCTTATGCATTACGATTTTAGAACCTTTGAATCTTTTTCTAACGCTGACAAGTTTTTGGACCATATCCACTTCAATTCTTGGTTTTGTATAATATGTTTTTACTCTATACTGACTGTTTACTGATTGTCTAATACTTCTCAAGGTCAGTTAAAGTTCGTTCAAAGTCGTCCATAAATTACAGTCTCGTTGTAAGTATCCTATAGTTTTTCCTAATTCTTCTATTGAGTACGAATTTACAATAATATTCTTATTCTAGGCGTTCACAAGAATCACAAAAAGAAATGTCTGTACTACTCAACATGTATAAAGTTATTCCAAAAGACCAAAGAGACAAAGCAGCACTTCTTCAATGCGAAGCCAAGCTGCGGGGTGAACTGACTGATGCTAGAAACGAAATCGATAAACTCCACGCAACTATCAAAGATCTTCAGTCACAGCAAACGAAGATGCAGCAACAACGGAAGTCATCATTAACATCTCCTGTTGAACCCAATTTAAAAATGTCACCTGCTGAACGTTCACTCACTTCTCATGGAAATATTCCACTCTCTCCGAAAACATGTAAGACGGGGTTGGTTTCTCCTGAAGAAAAAAGCTCGAGTATATCCGGATCTCTGCCGATCACGTCTTGTGGAAAATCCAAAACTTCTGCTTCTGATTGGCAAATATCAGAGTTGCAAATGGAACTCTACATAGTTCGACGTAAGAGTCAATCTGTTGAAGAGCAGTTAAAACTTCATCAACAACGACTTGTAGCTGCCAAGCAGCAAGAGGATGTACTACTGAAGGAAATGGAAGTAAGCTTTACTTTTGTTTGTATTTTTTCACACATGTTCTATTTAGGAGCAGTCCGTTTGCAGAAATATTCCAATATACTAAGACTTACTAATGTTCTTAGGAAAAAGTTGCCGTATTAAACAACATGACATTATTTACAGTTTACTTTAAACATTACTAATTAACTACTGACATTTTTTAAACAAAAAACTGCTTAACTACATCTAAATTGTTTTGTCCTACTATTTAAAGATAACTGTTCAAGCTTTTGAAGATGCACAAGAACAGAATGTTCGTCTTGTTAAAACGTTACGAGAAAAAGATGATGCTCATTTAAAGTTAATGGCAGAAAGAATGAAAACTGCTCAACTTGCTCGTTTACTGAAGGAAGATAAGCAGCTTTTAGAGGAACAAATACGTCTAATGCAAGCAAAAATTGAAGCATTAAATCGTGCAGTTCTAAAGCAGGAAGAGAAAGTAAGCTGAAAGTTTGTGTGTATATACTTTTCCATAATGAAGTAAATTTTGAATACTAATGGTGATGAGATTTTGTTACTGTAAGTCTCATATAGACGACTCAAACTTTACAAATAATCTCGTATAATAGTGCTTTTTATTAAAAGTTTTTGTGTCAATGTTTTTATACCTGTGTTAAAGTATCCCTAATGCATCACGGAGCCACCCCAATTAATGCAGTTTAATAACCTACGACTTTACAACTTCATACATATCTGTTCTGTCTGTGATATGCTTTAATGTTTTCTTCATGAATAACTTAATTGTTTCAAATCCATTTACGGATTCGAATCCTGTTACAGGCGTTTAGAGTTGTCTGATATCATATGTAGTGCTGAATATATATAGCTAGCATACCACATCAACCTGATATATCATCTCTATTATTGATTATAGTTCCTTACAGAACTGCAGATAGTGTTTGTTCCTAGTCAATTTCTGTCGTTGGACTCAGGCTTTATTTATGTATAGAAACAAACCGGTGTTTTTACGAAACGTCAATCCCATAACTTGATTTGTTGCTGAAGTAGAAATAATTTTGAAAGATCTCTAGGCTTACTGAAATATGACTTCTTTGATTCACGTTATTCACTGGCGATTGTTTTCAACGGTACAGAAAAACATTTGATAATTTCCTCGAAATGTGGGAAACCGGCTTTTCAAGACCTAGTTTTTAAAACATTAATGCATGAACGAAGAACATAGTTTTCAACAAATTCTCTTCCGGTTCTACAATTATGTATCCAAATCAGCAATTCAAAAAGTCGCCAGGTTTAAGGCAAAGTGCTTTAAATGATGTACTTTGCCTTGAAACTGGCGACTTTTTGAATTGCTTATTTAGATATATAATTTTAGAACCAGAAAAGAATTTATTGAAAAAAGTATTTTTCGTTCGTTTTGATGTGATAGGGGATTTTTATATGATATAGTTCTGGACCAACTACTATCAAGTCAAAGACATCCATGCTTTATCCTAGTTCTATGACTTGTATTTGCTTTCTTTACAGGAACGTTTATTGTTAACCAACTTAGCAACCTTAGAGAAAGAGGCATCAGCTAGACAAAAGTCACAGGAAGCCTATAAACGAAAAGCTCTGGAAAGCCAACAAGTCTCTGAAGACTTAAGAGTCACTGTTCAAAAGTATCAAAGTCAACTAAAAGATGCTCAAACTACTGTTCAAGAGAAAGCATCCGCTTTTGAACGTGTTTCTTTCGGTCATCAGCGTTTACAAGTTAGTTTTAATCTATTGAGAATCATTCTAATCTTTATGACTTGTGTAATTACCATGATAATCATTTTTGTACTTTTCCATAGTTCAGAATCAGATCACATGCACAATTTCATTATCTCAGATTTCTTTTGTTGCAAAGATGATTAGATGTTTGTTGTTTCGTACTAAACTACAGAGCGAAATCTGTTTGTGTATCATATGTATGTGGTGACTTATCAGAATGCTAATTCTTTTTAGGGTATAGTTATTTGTAATGGCTGTCTAATAAACTATTACGTGCCCCCAAATGCCCTGGTACGGCCGAGAGTGCGGAGAGTCACCTCTCCCTCTCCAAATGCTCTCATATGGCCAGCGAATATATAGCCTCTGCCAGGGAAGTCCTACTCACTGCCTTCTCGTGGCGGGGGTGTTGTTTACGAAAGTGAGAGGACGAAAAGCCAATGTCCGGCGCTTTAACCGGGTTGGTGGATGTGGAGGATCCACCTAGGGGAGTTGGAAAACCCTGATTCCAAACCAATGGTGCACATGGACTGGCTCCAGTATCCTGAGGGAACAAATGGCGTACGAATCAATCATTGATCACAGGCTATCATGAGACTGCATCTCCTCACGATGCTCCACTGCCTTGTGGACTAGACCTTCAGGTCAAAGGCTCCGGATGTGGCCCCCTAAGAAAACCGCCTGCTTCAGTCTGGGCACCTGAGCAGTATCACAGCCCTCACACAAATCGAATGAGATTTGTGAGGCGCATATTTATCTGGTGCTTTTTTGTATCAATATTTATGTGTTTAAATAAATAAATAAAATAAACTATTACTTGCTCAGCGGAGAAAGACCGATATTGATCAATGGAATGAAGAGTCCATGACTGTTTGATTAAGATTTATTTATACATCAAACACTAACCAAGAACTGATTATTATTACATCATAATTTGGAATAAAAAATGTCCAGTCAATAAATAAACTTGTTTGTATTAGACTGTCAATAGTTAGTTAATCAGTAATTCAATGCGAGTACACAATTCGCAATATCAATAAAATATAGCCGAATTACTGAATTATGTATTTTACTGTTTTTAATACTCACCTTTCTGATTGAATGTGTTTGAGTAAGGTTTTCCGTAGGGTTGTATATTTTTAATGTAATTCTGAGCATGTAGATCGTTCCACTCATCAGTCTGATAAAATGTCGGCGCGGATTCAGAAAGCTCGATTAGGTTTTGTTAACTTGCAACACTTGTGGCATAGACGAGATCCGTCTACCATTAACTAACTGGTTGGGGTCCACGTGATTAATGTAACCAGTGATTAAAAACTTTTAATGATATGGTTTAAAGCCGTTTGCAATGGTGTAATTGCATCAACTCGTCGTCCTCTCCTACATTCTAAGCTTCTGAACTCTCCAAAGGTTTTTTTTACTTCTCTAATTTATATTTTCTTTTCGAGTCGTGTCTTCGATGCCTAGTCTTTCCTATCGTCGCTGCTACTATTACTAACTTAACTATTTTGGGATTTTGCCTAATAATTTCATTTCACTGTGCTAATTGGGGTATGGCAACTTGAATCAATGTACTCATGTTTTAGGTTTTTCGTTGAGTTTGACTTACTGACTAGCAATAAACCCTTTATGAAACTTCACGGTTACATAATATGAGGTTTTCTGTTCTGGATTCCCAAGGTAAAATGCAAATTATTTTTTAATACTTTTAAACCTTAATATTTCTCATTGTTATCCGCATCATAATAGACATGCTGTTCAAATTCAGGTCTATTTGACTGAAGTTCACTTCGTTTTTAAATTGGCATGCTTCCTTTCTACTGATAGTAATATAATAGTCTAGAATTAAGGTTCATAACATATTCGTATTTTCATTAGCATGTAGCCTTCAAGTAGCTGGTTTTTAATTGATATCTAATCGTCTTTATTTTTTTGTATAGATATGTTTATTTACCTATTTGTTTACTTCCTTACTTAAGTGTAGCTAGTGTATTCAGGAATCTTTCAAAGTGTTGTACCCATCTGTCCCACTACTCGTGAATCTTAGTGATAGACTTGCCTTCTTTGTCTTTTATTAGTCACTCTGGTTTACAATATTTTCTTGCTAGTTTCCTCTTTGTATTATATGGCCGTCTGATATTTCCTTCTCTCAGCTTTTCCCACTGTCGTTGCTAGGTTTTCCACATATTTCTGTTTGTCGTCTCTAATGTTCCTCTTCACTCTCTTGTTTGTTTCTGTGTATTCTGCCCGTGTCTTAGCTTTCTCTGCTCCTATTCTACTGTTGTTTATTAATATTAATTGTTACTTTGATTGTCAGAAGACCTCGGCTTTTACCATGAGGCGTCATAATTATTTTGAACGAAGGTCATCAAACTCTCTAGACAAAGTTTAAATAATTTAAATTGTTTTTTCTGCTTATAGTTTTTTAACAAGCTTGTTTTGCAACAAAATGGGCTTGCTGACCCTATGCCCAACCCTTCTCTTTTATCCGCGCCTGGGACTGACCGTAACCTTAGATAGGCTAATTATTTATTTTTTACTTATTAGACTAAAATTACTAATTCGCTGAAAAATCTTGTTATTTGTTGCTTTCGTTTGTTAGAAGCTCAGGTCTATAATGTGGTTTCGGTCATTTATGAATTAAGACTTATGAATGAACTAGGCTTGTAATTGTTAAACTGCCCCCAAATGCCCTGGTACGGCCGAGAATGGGGAGGGTCCGTTCTCCCTCTCCAAATGCTCTCACATGTCCACGCGTATATAGCCTCTGCCAGCGAAGTCCTATTCACTCCCTTCTCATGGCTACCGTGTTGATCAAGAAATTGAGAGGACGAAAAGCAAATGTTCGGCGCTTTAACCGGGCCGGTAGACACGGAGAGTCCACCTAGGGGAGTTGGAAAACCCTGATTCCAAACCAATGGTCTACACGGGCCCCAGTATCCTGAAGGAACAAATGGCGTATGAATCAATCGTTGGTCACCGACTACCATGAGACTGCATCTCCTCACGATGCTCCACTGCCTTGTGGATCAGACCTTTATGTCAAAGGTTCGAGGTGTGGTTCCCTAAGAAAACCATCTGTTTCAGTTTGGGCGTCTGGTCAGTATCACAGCCCTCACACAAACCACATGAGATTTGTGTGGCGCATATATATCAGGTGCCCCTTTGTAGCAATATTTATGTTTAAATAAAATAAAATTGTTGAATTGAATGTCTCAATTAACGAAATGCAAAGACGACGTGATCTTGTGATGGTAGCTCACGAAACTGCATTATTCATGTAAGCCCCAAAATGTTTATTATTTATCAAACGAGATTTAAAACCCCTCAATAACAAAGATATTAGTTCCCTTTCATTGTTTTTATCCAAGCTAAATTTTCGATTTCTACCTTTTCGATACTTTAAGTGATGGTTATTGTACAATATGAATTACCACTATTCATGATGCTGACATTGATCTGATTATACACATGATTGAATAATTAAAACAATGCATGTTATATTTATTTCAGGAAGAACTTGTTACTGTGCGCAGAAAATATGAACGGCTACGCAAGATCGAACAGTCGCACAACGCTGATGAGTTTTTACTGGCTGAAATTCAAGATTATAAAGTATGTTGTTTATATTAATCACTTATCTTTTGATTAACCATTTCTGTTCCTAATCTAAATGCATTTTGTAATCAGATTTAAAAGCATGCACTGTAAATACTGTTTTTTAAATGAGAAGTTCATCACCTGGTTTAGTATTGTACATATTCCGGATATCAAGCAAACTTATGTACCTTGTGACTTGTCATGATCTTCATGTTAGTTAATATTTTACAGCATTTGTAATGATAATATTTTCCATATTTGATTTAGTTCAGTTTTATTTTCATTCTTGTTTTGTAACCCACCATTTTTTGTAAATTTTAGGAACAACTTACATGCCCAACGTGTAAAATCAACAGAAAGGATGCTATTCTGACTAAGTGTTTCCATGTGTTCTGTTTGAATTGCCTAAAAGTTCGGTATGAAACACGAAATCGTAAATGTCCAAAGTGCAATGCAACATTTGGTGCCAACGATTATCATCGTATATACCTTACTTAATCTATTCAAACCAACAGGTTTTTCTTTCCGTGTTTTATTATTTTTAGATCTCTTTTCCATTTGTTTCTGTATGCTCCGGTAATGTATATAGTATCGACTATAAGAATCCTTCACTATGTTTTGTAAATACTTTCCACCTCAAATAATATATAGTTTATAATCTTATGACATTTTATCTTCCAGTTGAATTTTGTGTGTGTAAAATGTGTGTTCAATAAAAGATCGTTCTTCGCATCCGATGAGCTCAACAGTCAAACCGATTATGTCTAATAGGTTTAGCTCTAACTTTTATTCGTATTATTTTGAACTGCTCAAGTTTAATTAGTGTAATACAAGTTATACCATATTCATTTGTTAACTATCCCGAAAACGCGTACAGGTTTCAAAAAGACGGCTTTCATGATCCACAAAAGCATACTAAATATCTACCCTATCATTAAACAGTAGGCGTTAGGTGATATACTATAAAAACTATCCAGCCCATTGCGTCGTCATTTACCGTCATAATAAGTAATGAATTGGATGGTTTTAAGGCCACTTTGTTTTAATTTTGGACAAAATTAGAATGTTTTTTGTTCTACTCGTTACTTCGACCAAGGAGATTCTAACAATATCGAAGCAAATCCAAAATCGACCAGGCAGATCATATGACTAGTGTTCAACTTTATTTCAACGATTACTAGATCACACGAAAATAAAATGTGAAAACCTATCTCAAAGAAAGCCAATAAAATGAGTAAATACCACTATTCATATAATGTGAAACGGTAGCTCAGTAGTTACACTGAGTATACTTTACTAGGTCGCATATCTTACAATGATATATAGAAGTTAGTAAATGTTATTAACACTCATAATGCAGTTCATTAACGATGGTTGTAAATGACATTACTGTCTTACATTTTATCATAAGATATGATGTGTTATGTAAAATATAAAACTACTCAAATAGATAGACTTAAATATGTCTGAAAAACTAAGACGAGGTCAACAGTGTTTCATAAGGTATGTGGAAAAAATTACACATTTCAAACGTTTGTTCGTGTAGTAGATCAGTAGATTTTTTATCCATTAATTTAGTCACATTGAAAATATACATTGAACGGTTCAATACATGTACTCGTAAGTTACTAGTATTTGACCACAGATGCCTTAGAAATATTGCTCGCATCTGCTGGGATAACCGGGTAAGTAATAGTGAGGTTAGACACAGGGTATTAAGGAATGATGGTAAATCAGTTGATGAGATCATGAATCTTCATCGACTGAGTTGGGTTGGGCCACGTGTTACGTATGCCTGGACACCGATTACCACGACGGGCAATGCTGACTAGTGTAGAGGATGGTTGAAAGAAAGTTAGAGACGGCCAAACCAAAACATGGCATCAGTGCTTGTAGTCACTAACTTCTAGTCTAAGCCATGTTGGTAGATGCAAACTACTTGGTTGGGGTCCGTGTGACTATCGTAACCAATGGTTGGAGACTCTAGGTGACATGGCTCATAATCGATCACAATGGCGTAGGTGTATACACTCTTTATCTTCCCTTCAACTGTGAGATTAAAATTGCTTCATAACGTTCTTCCTTCCTATACTATATCCTTATATACAACCTTTCTTTATATGCTACCACCACTAAATTAACTACAATGAATCTGGTGTTCATCTTGTGCCAACGAGGTATGGCAACTTGTACCGATGCATATATGTGTCTGATCCTACGTTGTAGCTTACTGACTGACTCAATACATGTAATTTTACATTTACTATATACAGAATGACGTCTCATATAATCGTATCATTCCATTTAGTTTTTCAAAAGAGCAATTTACTCAAGAAATGCCTTCATTATGGAAGACACGAATATATAAGATCATTTTTGATGTTATTCATCTCACTGAAATTAAACAGGGCATAAAATTTTTAATTGTTATTGTATTGAACCTCGCATGATTCATAAAACAAGAGCTCGTAGAGATTAAAGTACCTACTTTCAATTAATTAAGTCATCCTGTCTCAAGTAATTAGTAATATGATTGATAATACATATACCAACGATGGTCGACACTTTCTATTAGTTTATAGGTAAATTAAATGTATATATTCACAGGAAATGTATTAAATATCAGCGCTTTAAGAACCAGGGATACAACTTATTTTTCACTAACTATTCACTATATATATGTATGGCTAATTCTATATTTGGACTACTGATAATTTTCAATATAATACTCAGTGTTTTGTGAATGATTCAAATTTAGGACATCCATAAAACGAACATACGAAACGAAGTTTATCGTAATTTTGCTAATTGTTGTCCTATCGTACGCGAATTTTATTTATTTATTTAAACACATAAATATTGATACAAAAAAGCACCAGATAAATACGCGCCTCACAAATCTCATTCGATTTGTGTGAGGGCTGTGATACTGCTCAGGTGCCCAGACTGAAGCAGGTGGTTTTCTTAGGGGGCCACATCCGGAGCCTTTGACCTGAAGGTCTAGTCCACAAGGCAGTGGAGCATCGTGAGGAGATGCAGTCTCATGATAGCCTGTGATCAATGATTGATTCGTACGCCATTTGTTCCCTCAGGATACTGGAGCCAGTCCATGTGCACCATTGGTTTGGAATCAGGGTTTTCCAACTCCCCTAGGTGGATCCTTCACATCCACCAACCCGGTTAAAGCGCCGGACATTCGCTTTTCGTCCTCTCACTTTCGTAAACAACACCCCCGCCACGAGAAGGCAGTGAGTAGGACTTCCCTGGCAGAGGCTATATATTCGCTGGCCATATGAGAGCATCTGGAGAGGGAGAGGTGACTCTCCGCACTCTCGGCAGTGCCAGGGCATTTGGGGGCCGTACGCGAATTGAAACTGGCTAGAGCATAGGACAACAAAATATGGAACTGGGATATCATTCGGACATGGCATAAGTATAAATATTTATAGATGGTCTTTAAGGTATTGATTCAGAAAGTCCAATACATAACTGTTTGTAACAAGTTACAACTCAGCTTGAAAATTTTTAATTCGGCTTTTCATATTATTTTCTTCTATTGATTCGATACTCTAAATGATGGTAAGCGGTGTTAAGTATAACTAAAAGAGCAATAGAAGTTGAGTTTACAATATTTTTCGGGATCCATTTTGGAAACCCCAGCTGGGGTCGAACCCAGGGTCTTTTCTTTGATGAGTTTAATTTTTTGATTACGAACATTTATTCTTATGTCATTCGATCCATTTTTTATTATTTTAACCTCCATAATACTACACATGAAAAACACTAAATAGTCACTTCATTTTACATTTCATTTCGTACTTATAATTTATGATTCTTTGTCCCGATTACCGTTAACCAAAAACAATCAAAGATCTAGTCACTGAGATGTGGCATCCGAGTTTTAAGTTTTTAAAAAAACCCGTAAATGAATAACTTCAGAGTAACCATAAATCTGGTCATATTTACGGATAATCCAAGTTATAATATGAAAATCAAGTGAACTTTCTTGTGTATCCGGCATTAGGGGATCACCTTCTCCCATCTAAAGTTGAAGTTGTAGTTTCTGAAAACAAGTGGAAACTTCGTGCAATTTAATAATTTTACTACTTCTACTACTGTGATGTGGGCTACTTATATCCACATAAGTAGTATATGATGATAGTCAGACATAGAATGTATTTTGGCATAAGATCGATAAGGAAAGAACAGAAATGAAGCGCAATCGGTACGAAAATGCATGAACAATGAAATCAGAGGAGACGGACTGATATTTGCAGAAGGAACAGTTAAGATTGAGACAATGGATTGTTAATCTGCAGATTAACTGTTTATTGTATGGTTATCAGGATTTAGTGATGTCTGTAATTTGTGTATAGATACATCCGAGTCTCCCCACTCGTGTTCTCGTTCATCACACTACTATCACGTGCAATGTTTTGATAAATAAATGCTTCTCATCAGTATTAACATAATCAGTAACTGTTATTATGAATAAATATATTAATCACAATGAAATTTATTGGTTGTCTAGCGAACAGCTTCTAGAATGATTCCTTAAACGCTTCTAAGTATTTGTGACTAATGAAGTCCAGCAATAAAAAGAGTGAGGCAGTCAACATCGATGACGTTTAATTCATTTTATGCTACATCTGGGTGTGTTTCGATTTGAAAGTATGAACTATTATATTTCAAACCGTGTTATAAATCTCATTGTATTTGACATCGTAAATGTGTGTTCCAAAGGCGCCTCAAATTGTTACGAAACAGTTGTCCAGTTTTGTTGCTTTGTGTATGATTTTATTTGGTGAATTAAACAAATTCCAAACTTGACCACTGAGGAGTATCACAATGGGATGAAACAGCAGTCTATTACTCACTAGTTTTCGGTAGTACCTCATCTATAATAAATCTACGAATAAGACCTTGAACTTAAAAATAATCTCCATAAAACCCCTTTTAACTAAAGAATACATTTTTAACTGTAGGATAAAAAGGTGTGAATCATGATTCAGACACTAGTATTGAATTCTAAAACTAGAGCTTTTCAAGTAATCAAGGAAACTTCTAAGGTTATTATGGAAAATTGAGATCACCAAATGTGGATAGGCTTTTCTTATCTACAGTATCACTTATTAAAGCTGCAGTCATCTTTATAATAATTTAAATCTCCTCCTCTCTCTATATAAAGGGATGGTTAGGTGTTGTTTCATTAAGAAATTGTCCTAGTATTTCAGCTTTTCTCAGTAAGTGTTGTTTGTTAAAAGGTAGTGAAAATAAGTAATGTGGAAATAGCACACAAATGAAACATTTGAATTTTACTGAAAGAGACTAGATAGCTAAATACCATAGGAATTTGTTATTTGGCATCGATTTAAAATAAGCGTTGTATGAATTTTGGAACATTTTTACAAATCAGTAAAAAGGAAAACATATATCCGTCTGCCTTAAAGTTTCAAGTGAGTTTTGTGCCGCTTCAATATGTAAACGAATAACATTAC